GCAACAAATGTCGGATTCAATGTTGTTCTTCCTCGTATACGTGAAGCCCCAGGCTACGAACAGTTAATAGAAGGAGAGACATGTAGTTAATTAAGCTGTGTTGGGCCCGAAGGCCCAAACTTCGATTTCGATTGGTAATATTGTTGATATAATAATTTAAAAACAAAACCTCAAGTTTTCGTTAATCCAATTTAAAACCCTCAACTAAATTATTAATTCAAAAAACCCCTCAACTAAAAAATTTTAATAAGAAAAAAAAATCAACTAATAGTCGGTTTATTTAAAAACCCCAAACTAAATTATTAATGAAAACAACCTTTAAGTACGAAATTTTAATGAAAAGATTCATTCATTTATAATTCTGCTTAAATATATCTCGTCTAGTCGATATTTTGCATTACTACTTGTTAAAACACGTGTAAAATATAAATTTTAAAACCAATATAAATTTTTAAAATCGCTAGTGTCGATTTAAAGTTTTCAAGATTGTGTAAAATAGAAACCATCATCCATTATCGTGCTTATATTTTGTTTCACATGAATTTTTTTATTTTCATTGTTTTACGCAACGTAAGATGCGATATTATATTGATTCATTGTCTAAGTGCATCACGTTTCTAATGCTATTTAAAAAAAAGCATAACATTTTCTTATGTCTAAAAATATTTACACATCATCTTTTAATAAATCAAAATACAATAATATTTATTTGATGACAGTTGTTTAAGATTCTGACGATACTATAGAAATGGAGCTGTTTTGTTAATAGGTCTTTACTTGAGGGGTCTAAAATATACCTGTAAATATTTGAGGGTTTGTTTCGTTAATAATTTAGTTGAAGGGTTTTAAATAGACCATTTAATAGTTTAGGCTTTTTTCATTTAAATCTCTTAGTTAAGGCTTTTTCATTATTAATATAGCTAAGGGTTTGTAAATACTGTAGATATGCCGATACTTGAGGGTTTTTTTCATTAACATCCCTATATTAATCTATACTAGTATTTTCATTTTTTTTGAAGTACATTTTAGAGAGTAGCCTTTGTTTTAATTTATCTATTTAATAATAAAAATTAAAAGACAGAAAAAAAATTCTATTAGATTCATTCATAAAATCTATTCATTAAAAAGTGTGGATGTTAAATCATAAATGGCTAATATTACTATTATTTCTTTTTGACCATTTTTATTAATATGAAGAGAAAAGCCCAAAAACATGGCTACAAGTGATGTTAAGAAGCCAAATTCTCCAATCTTTACAATTTTAGTGAAAATTAAAACAGTTTATCCCACCCACTTTAAAGATAAGTATAAGAAGAAAAAGTGCCACATGTTTACACGTCAGAATGATAGATAACATAAATCAGTGCTGATAGTCGATAAATCTACGATCAGACACAGCTCAATATCGATCCTTCTTCAATCGGATACAGCTCCATGGATCGCATGTTGGCTTGTACAGAACACCACCATGCGATCCTTGTACAATTTTCTCCGCTGCAAATCCGATTGAACTTCATTACAACCCTCTACAAATTACTTTAAGAAAATTCATTGAGTCTTCTTCATCTCAATCCAACTTCTTAGAAGGAAGCTCCGCCAAAAATACCTAACTCCAAAGTCCAAGTCATACCAAATGACAAAGATATTATTCCTACATAAAAGAAACGGGAAAATCACATTTTTAACCTTCAAAGTGTTACTGAGTATCACTTTAAACCTTAAAAGAATTTCACTAACACTATAAACCACTAATATAATTTAACTAACACTTTAAACCTTCAAACTAGGTTTTCTGTTTGCATCGCCATAAAAATGATGGAACAATTAATTTATGTTTGTTTAATATAAATTTATTTAATTTAATTTAAATTTTAATTAATTTTATTATTTATTTTGGTCGGACGGTGAGTAAACGAAGAAGATGAAGTTTTTTTTCTTAGATTTTTATTAATTATAATAAATAATAAAATAAATTTAAATTTAAATTAAATTAAATAAATTTATATTTAACAAACAGAAATTGATTGTTCCGTCATTTTTATGGCGGCGCAGACAAAAAAGGTAGTTTGAAGGTTTAAAGTATTAGTAAAATTATCATGGTGGTTTATAGTGTTAGTAGAATTCTTTCGATGTTTAAAGTGTTACCCACTCATGCTTTTTTTTGTTTAACGTCTGGATTTATTATTTATTGCAAATTATGAGAACTATTACATAGACGATTCTACAACGGACAATTCCTTCCGACCCTTATTAGATCCACGACAGAAAACACCTTCTTCACCTTCTTCTTCATACTCACCTCCTTCACCTCCTTTTTTTATGCTCTTGATGGACACTTCCCTCTTTACGTAGAATCCTGGCGAACGGCCATAATTGTACATCGCTGGAGATCTCCTGCACACTTGCCTCCAATAATCTGCAAATTTATTAATAAATCGCAGTATCTGGGATACTGCCCCCAGACCTCTGGGTGTAGAAGCATCAATTAACTCTTGTTCAACCAATGGGTCAAAGGGGCTTCCACACCCACTCATGCTTTGAAGGTTAAAAATGTAGTTTTCCCTAAAAGAAACGTTAAGCCGACAATAAAATAATGGAGAATCCATCGATTGCAAACAAAAAAATTAGAGAAAAGGCGACCAAACCTTAAAAAATCCGGACATCTCCGTAAAATAAATCCGATAACCGGAGTTTATTATCCGATCTCAATCGGAAACTATGAACAAACAAAAAGTAAGATTTTCTCCCTTTTAAAGATTTGAAAAGAGAACAGTGTTGGTCTTTCTGAGACAGAGGCTTATTTGCCACTGAACCGAAAATATTAATCTGGCCTGCCATTTTGGAGTCTGTATACCACTCTAATATGTGTTATTTCTATTTTGTCCTTAATGAATATTTTTATTTAATTAACTATTAGAAATTAAAACCAAAAAAAATAAAAAAGCAAAAAAAAATTTGTTCGCATCCTCACCTCCGATTCTCCCCTCCCAACAAACCAGAGCTCACTTCGCCGATCTCGCCGCCCACCGTTTCTGGCGTCTCATCCTTGCAATTAGTTTGTTCTCCTCTCTCCTCTGTCATTGATGAAACTAAGAGATTATTTCTTAGTTTCTCAATCTTCCGCCATGGAATCATGGATATCAACAACAACCACCACCGCTCCAACGAGGACAACGCTCTCTCAGTTATTAGAGGTTTTGCATCAACGATTCGAAGTTTCTGTTAATTGTATAGTCCTCTTCATCTTTTGTCCTTCTTCTCGTTTGATTTGATTTCTCTTCGAAGAGGAAGAATTTATTATGCGTTTATAACTTATATCTAAGATCTCTTGTTGATACGTTTAGATGAGTGTGGTGGGATTCGATATTGGGAACGAGAACTGTTAATTTCGTAATCATGAATTCTTATGGCAAATTTTACCTCAAAATTCATAATTTAGTCTTGTAATAAATTCAATCTGTAAGTCATTGCTTATAATTGTCTCTTGCCATCATTGTAATGTGTGTAAGGCAAAATCTGATTTGCTACTATGTTAGGCTGGAATCCCTGACTGATTATGGATTTAAGTTAGATTGGTTGAAGAAGAAACTTGATCAAGTGATAGAAAATAAAAAGAAAGAGGAAGCTGGTGAGACTCGGGAGAAAAGAAATTGAGGAAGAGTTGAAGGATTTGAAGCTGAAGTGTTCAAGGCTCGAAGCTCATTTGGAGAAGGTGAAGCGAAAGTGTTCAGACCTCGAAGCTCAACTGTTGGACGAAAAGGCAAAGGTTTTGGCTGCCATAGCTCCACTCTCGTCGTCTGATGACGGTGTTTTTGATGACTTTTTTGAGTTCTTATGCAAGTAGATTTAGGTTCTGCTAGTGCTAGGGTTTTTTGACATGCTCTCTTGCTTTCCCTTCTAAAATTAAGAAAATAATTTTAAGTAGACTTCATGTTCGCATATTTATATAGAAGTTTTTTCTGTGGTTAAAGATTCTCAAGGTGTCTTTAGTTTATCGTTTTATTGTGCAACACTAACAGTGATTAATAGAACCAAATTCATTGCCCCTGTGGAAGATAAATGATATTAATTAAAAGAATATTTGATGACTAAAAATCATTTGTATTTGTTTTACAACCAACTGGGTACAACTAGATTCGACTGGTACAACTAGGACCGACTAGTACAACTAAAACCATAAATATATTGGGTACAGCTAAAACTATAACTATAACCATATATGTATCAGTATATGTACTTGTCGTATTCGTACAACTATGTTCAACTGGGTATAATTAGGTTTTGACAAGGTACAACTAAGACCATAAATGTATCCGTATGTGTATTCAACAAATATGAAAAACCGATAAATTAGAGTTAACAAGGATTCCAAAAACATGTTGAACTAAAAAGAAACAATTTTAAATAAATAAAACTTGAATTTATCATTTTCCTAGTGCATACTATTGTTTTCATATGAAACACTCCTTATAGTACAAGGAACACTTTGTAGGTGATCACTTCTTTTGATGCAAAATAGGTGAAAATTATGATTTCGTACAAATTGTATTATGAAAACTTCTTAAATAATAATTAATAGTGTAACAACATGTGTCCAACTTAAAATTACTAATTTTTATTAAAGTCCAACTGAAAATACGCAAAAATCGCCAAAGTCCAACTATGAATATGTGAGTACAACTGTACAACTACGTTTATAACAAACAATTTTTAAAGAATATCCCGCTGTCTTTGGCCCACTTTACAACACGTGTGATGATTTTAAATTAATATCCCGCCGCCAAAATCATGCTTACGTGGGTTATATTTAATTTTTATTTTTTTTAATTTTTTATACTTTTTTAAAATTTATTTTAATATCAAATAATATTATTTTTTATTTTTTAAAAAGGTTATTTTTAATTGTTTCAGTTGTACTTAAGTGATCTAGTTGTACTTTCTTATGTGTAACTCATACACGTAGTTGTACCTAAATAGACCAGTTATACCTACAAAAGCAATTGAACATAAATATAATCTAAATATTTTTTTTGTTTACAAAAACATGAAGTCATATGTTTAAGATCCACAACACAACAAAATACACAAATGAAATACAAAAACATAAGTCATGTGCAATCTTGGAGATGTAAATCTCGACCTCTCTCGGTCGGCTCAAGCCTCGGTCTCTTGGGGATGATACCAAACCTGCTTGGCGCATGATCTCTGCAACAACATATACTACAAGTCAACGAGTTGATTATTGATCTAGAATCGTGAAGACCACAAGTACGTGCAGTGTACAATCATGATTGTCACAAAAAAGACTTGACTTGTTCGCTTTCTTTACAGTTCTTGATCAAGCTCTTCCTTCCACTTCTTCTCTATCTTTGACAGAGCAACACTGCAAAGCCAAAACCAGCCAACTCAAGCAGATGAAGGAATGAAACAAGAAGCCTAGACAAAGGTCCTAGACTAAGGGAAAAACTGAAACCATTGCTGACTTAAGACAAGCATGAATGGGACTTAGTCCTGACTTCTTGATTCCTACTGAGTGCCTAAGAGATTTTCACACGGATCAAATCCCATCCAGAAACTAATGTAATCTACTTCCTCATGTCGGAAATCAAAACTTCATAACCAACAGATTCACGCTAAAAAGTTTTATACTTTCTAAACAAATCAGAACCTATGAATCACTTCCCTAGATTATTTTTCTTTGATATCCTTAATCAAGTTTAAAGCATTTACAACACCTAAACAAAAGCAACAAACAAAGCTTATAGCAAACAAATGAAACAAACAAGTGTAAAAGATGTTAACACATATGGTATAAAGTGATATTACCAGCATTAGCAGCATGTATGGATGATACATGATTATCAGGCTAGATACAAGAACCATGTTTCGATCCATTCCCCCTTACGGACACAAGATTTTTACAGGGATCAGAATAAGTTCCTTACTTTGCCATGTGTTAGAGACTCTGCTCAGCAACACTTTAGGCCGAACATTGTATGTTATTTATCAAAGAAATCCAATTCTACTAGAATGCAAAATGGACTCTAAGAGGATGTGATTTTCTCTTACTTTCTAAGGATGCCATAAATTCAACAACTTTAACCAAACTGAACCAAGTCAACCCAAATTCAAAAGTTAGTGCTAATAATTCATTTGTTCACTGTTTTCCCCAAATTCTTCGAACGTTTCTTGTTCTAGAAATTAAAATTACCTTCTATGTACCTCAAATCCTATAACTAGCATTGAGCCAAACTAGACCTAAAGCAATGTTAACACTAAACAACTAGACGAAATTCGAATCTGAATTAGATATGACAAAGATTGAAGGAATTGTTTTTGGAAACGGTGATCTTACATCCTCAAGGAAATCTTCGTCGAGTTTATCAGCGATTTTGATTGAAGTGAAGACAGTGGCGGCGACAAAAGTAGCAAGAATTTGCGAACGCGAGCAAGTAGATGCTCGTACTAGGCCCTGCTCGCTTCACCACGGAACAGTCTCTGATTCTCTGTCTAAGACATAATCTTCCGGCTACACCATCGGGGAAATTGTTCACCGGCCACGAGAATAGTGGCTGAGAAGAAGACACAGAGAAGCTTATTTGTGTGGGTTACATAGGGATAGAAACGAAAAGTCTCGCCATTTTTTTTTTTTGTTGATTTTGGAAACAAACGATTGGCAAAAGAAAGCAACAGGATCTGGAAGTAGAGGAGGAGAACGATTGAGAGTGTTTGGTTGTTGAGATAGTGAATTTCATGTTAGGTTTTGTAATTGTTAACCTTTTAAAAGGGCTTTTGGACATTTCCTTAGCTTTTGACTTATAAAAAAATTGTAAAAGAAAATAAAAATAGGAAGGTGACATTCCAGCATTTTTTTTCTCCAAAAGCGGCTTTCCAGCCATTGTTTCGGTCTTTCTCCCTCAACAACAATGCCAGTGAAATGGTAAAGCTTTGATCCGATTTCGTTTTGAATCTTCAAAATCTCGAATCTTTCGTTCCTTTTCTGATTAATCTTCCGATTCTCGTCTCTGGGTTTTGGTTTTTTTTCTAGGGTTTTACATTGGCAACCAAACCAAGGATCAACAGTAAGCAGCCAAATCCTAAACGAAGTAACACAATGTGTGGAGAGCATCAATGGCGTCAAAGAAGGAAGATGGAAAGCTACTCTCAACTATTACAAACCCATGTTACGAGACCAAGCGAATCAATCGGAGTTTCCTCGTGATTTTCTAGGGATTTCACTTGCTGATCAGCCGAATAAGTACTATTTTATTATCAGGTCGCAGAGGATTGTGTTGGAAGCTGATTCTTCGATTCAATTGATTATGGAGAAGCTTCAGTCTTATAAATCGAAAGTTGCGCTTTACTTTGATGGGTTTCAGTATCAGCTTGGTGATTTTAGGTTGAGAGTTGGTAAAGTTGTTCCTACTCATTCTGAGAATGTTAGAGGAATTGTTATGGAGGTAATAAAGTTTCGAGCTTTTTCTTGTTATCTACATGCCCTTTTGGTTTTGATTTGGTGATGATGATGATGATTCTTGATGCTATTTGCAATGTTAGAGCTTGAGCAATCTACATGATGAAATCGTTGTTTTTGTCTTGTTAGCGGAGTTTTCTCGTAATCTCCTTGCCCTTTTGGTGATGATGCTTGATGCTTAGTTACAATGTTAGGATAGATGATGAAAAGTGAACAATGTTGATACATCTAGAAACAGAGTTTAGTGTAATAATACCTTTTGGTGATGATCCTTGATGCTATTTACAATGTTTAGAGCTTGAGAAATTGCGAGATGTGGATAATCAATGTTTGATGCACTTAGTTGATGAAAATCCTTGGTTCAGATTGTCATTGTTGACAGAGTTTGCTTGTTATCTCCTTGCTCTTTTGGTGATGATCCTTTATAGTTACAATGTTAAGATAGATGATGAAAAGTAAACAATTGTTGTTGCATATAGAACAATGTTCTTGTTAACAGAGTTTCTTGTATTCTCTTTTGGTGATGATCCTCGATGGAATTTACAATGTTAGTGCTTTTGAGCTAATTGAGATAGATGAGTAACAATGTTTGATGCAGATAGATTATTGAAATCCTTGTTCCAGATTGTCTTGTTAACGGAGTTTTCTTGTAATCTTTATGCCCTTTTGGTGATGATGCTTAGTTACAATGTTAAGACAGATTATGAGAATTGAACAATTTGATGCATCTAGAACAATGTCTTGGGAATGGATTTCCTGTAATCTGTCTTTTGGTGATGATCATTGATGCTGTTTGAATGTTAGAGCTTGAACGATGAGACAGGTGCATAACAATGTTTGATGCATTTAGTTTATAAAGTCCGTGTTCTAGATTGTATATTGTTAACAGATTTTCTTCTAATCTCTTTTGGTGCTATTTGCAATATTTATGACAGAGGTGATGAACATTGAACAATGGTGATGCATTTAGAACATGAAAATCTTATTTTATACAGATTTTTCGTGTTAAGAGAGTTTCTTGTAATCTCTTTTGGTGATGATCCTATGTTAAGACAGATGATGAAAATTGAACAATGTTGACTATGCATCTACAAGTTTCTTTAGTCTTGTTACGTGTAATCTCAATGATGATGAAATCCTCGTGTTTTTAAATCTTGATTGTCTTAATGCGCTAATCTAATCACCAAAAAGGTACTTGGAGCCATTTTCTTTTGGTGATGATCCTTGATCCTATTTGATGCATCTTGAAGTTTTTTAAATCCAGTTTGTCTTGTTTCTTGTAATCTCAATTTTGGAGTTTGTGTGTTGTAACTTGTAACTAAAGGCTGTGTGTGTATCATTGCAGGTGGAGTATCTTCCTATATCATCAATGGAAAAGGCACAAAAAGTGATGGAGGAGTTCTTGGAGATATGGAATGAAGCTCTGGCTAAAAGGTCGTTGCCGGGTAAGTTTGTGAACATAGATCTCAACTTTGTGGAGTTTGGACTTGGAGACAACTACACTCCACAACACACCGCTGTTCGATATGCTCTCGTGATGGCTCACATGATTGCTACCGTTCAAGCTGTGAGAGGCTAAAACTTGTTCTGAAATCACTAATATGGCTCGCATGTATTTTTAGGTAAAATTCTGTGTTCTGCAATATTTGTGATTTCTTTGGTCATGTTTATCTATATGCACTGAGAAAAAAATGGACTATTAGAAGAGTTGATAGACCAAGTTACAAAACTCCAGAAAAAAAACTTGAGATTCCAGCTAAGCAGTAAGAGAAGAGACCTAGGAAATTCTCACCCATCTGAGAGACGAGCGATATAGAATCCCAATCTAGACCAACAACGCCCGAACACTCGGGTGGTTTACCCCGAACCCTGAACAGCCAATGGTGGTCTCGGCCAATACAAAAGGTTCCCCTGAAGTAGATATGGATCGTGACCGTCTCTCAAAAGTTGGATTATTAATAAAAAAAAAATCCAACTTTTGAGAGTTTGTGAACATAGAAACTCAACTTTGGGGAGTTTGGACTTGGAGACATCTATTGGATACGCTCTCGTCATGGGCCATGGCTCACATGAATGCTATTCAAAAACACAGCATTCCATAGAGCTTTTTACGTTAAGTTCTGAGTTTTGCAAAATGGATATTTTAAAAGAAGTTGAAAGACAAGTAACTCTAGAAAACTTGAGACTAGAGCAGATTGTGAAAACTGGATTATAAATAAAAATAAAAATAAAGTATAAGAGACACATTAGAATATGAATAATGCATGTTGTGTACACATTCGCATATTAATTAATCATAAAAAAATATCAATGTTTTATGCTTTTATCAAAAGGACAAATATAATAAAAACCAAACTAAACTTAAAAATGTAGAAAAGAGACTCGCTTGGGGTGTTGTTTCTTCAACTCCATAGTGCAGAACAATTAGTGGGACTAAAAGAAATCACTAATGTTGAAGAATCATAACCCACCAATAAATTGTTATGCGCTCTATTCCCAAAGATAGCAGGCATTGACGGATCAACACACCCAATAGCTAGACAAAAGGTTCCTCCCGTTATCGTTTCGACATACATATTGTACTTATCCAAGACAAGATCCGCACCGCCAGCAAAATGCAATGTGATCACCGGAAAGATCTCCATGGTGTCCCAATTGTAGCAAAGCAAGTTCTCACTGCTCGGGTCAGGTACTTGATTCGCTGCCACAACACTTGCCGCCACTGCCTCCCTCACTAGGTTGCAGTAGCTCGTAGGTAAGTACGTGTAAGTGGTTCCAGAGTCTATAAAAATGTTCCCGTCTTGGGCATGAAACGGTGTCCCCAATGTCTCAATGCGTTTGTCCCCAACGCTGACCGCGTCTAGGTTTAGGTAATAGAAAGGTTGATCTTTCTTGATAAACATATCGGCTGCTACCGTCCCATCTCCTGCCACAACAGCATTTGTTCCAAAATTGATCTTACTAGTTCCTTGACTAGAAAAGCAGTAAGATATAAGACCTGGGATGGGCAAGTCCATCTGAGAGATAAGCGACGAAGGTCCCATGTTTAGACCAACAATGCCCGAAGAACTCGCTGCATACCCTGGTGTCATGAGGTTTGAGTTGTTGAGGCCACACCCAATGGATGTTTCAGCCATCACAAAGGGCTCTCCTGAAGTGGACTGGATTGTGACCGTCTCGGTTGCCAAGATTCCCGTGGAATAGCTTTCGTCCGCGTAGATAATCTCGTAAGGACAAGAGTTCCCATGGCATCTTTTTTCTTTGAAGGTTGAAGATTTAGAAGGGTCGAATATAGGAGCGAATTGTGTGTAGCAGTTAGGACAAGGCATACATTGTGTCCATATAAGGTCACTTCCTGTGTCTATCTCTGCTACGATCTCGAAAGGAGGAGTACCGAGTTGTAGTCTCATTAGATAGATGCTGTAATCAAAGACAGTGTCGGCGTAAGGTGATGCTCCGAGCAACTGATTTTTGGACAGTCGAGAAGAAGATGAATTCGAACGACGCTGGATCAAGTCAATGGTGAAGCCGTGAGGTGATGAGGCAGTGGCGGTGAAGAGAAAACATGTAATGATTTGAAGAAAAAGAACGATCATTGTGGTGGTTCCAAGAGACATTGATATCGAATGGTTTTGAGACACAATGCAATGCTCTTCATTCATGCACGTATATATATATATATAACTTTCTGGATTTTTTTGTCGTAATTGTTAAATGTCCTTATTTGTCAACTTTGTCCAATTTCGATATCATGACATGGGGATTTTAACATTTTATTACTTAGTTTTACATTTTTTGGGGGTTTTTATTCTTTTTAATGGAAATTATATATCATATCGTTATAGCAAAATGTATATGTTCGTTTTTAACAAAAACAAAAAAAGAAAATGTATATGTTCTCCAAATTTTTTGTTTTAAGTAATTGTTAATGGAGCTAAAATGAAAAATACACTTTTAGGTGATATATATATATATATATATATATATATATATATATATATATATATATATATATATATACATATATATACTAGAGTTGACAATGCATGGAAACGTTAAGGGATATACATGGAAAATGGAACTAATGAATTTTAGAAAATGAAAAAGACAAAGGACAATTAAAAAAAAAAGCATCATTCGTGTGTAATAAGGGTAAGAGGACGGATAATTTTGTATATATTATAGTTTATACAAGGAATACCCTGTCCCTAACCAATTTTTTTTGGTTAGTTAACAAATTATCAATTTTTATTTGATTATACACCACACTTTCCCTAATATTTACATTCTTTACTGTAAAAATAGAAGGAAAATTACATAATCATAAAGATTTTGGTCTGTATAAGTGTATCTCACGCTTATTTGTAGGTTGAACCGGCCTTGCATTTGAATTTGAATCCTGCAAAAAAGAATTTGTAAACATTCAATTTTCGTATTGTAGTCTGTAGAATTCATGAATCATTATTTATATGAAACTCACATCATGAACAGCCACTCGGAGTAGATTCACTTGGCTCTTCGTCACAGTCCTTGTCTACAAATCACACAAAGAAATTATGAATTAAAAGATATAATGGTCGTACGGAAAAAACAAACACAAGAATCTATTGGTCCATGTAAATAACAAAAGAAAACGGTAAATAACGATAGCAGGATAATTAAAATAATTATACCGTTCTAATAATGGTCCATGTAACATTTTGCGTACATGGAGGAGTGGTAAGTGATCCAATATATCTATAATAGTTTCTGCTCTCAATCTTAATTTTACTTGGATCTATCATTACTACATTTTTCTTGGCGTCATTTTGATCTGTAATCGCCGCCATTTTATGTTCCAACTAACCAAAACAAAAACAAAAAATTTGGTTAAAAAATCTATTATTTAGCAAACTAAAAGCTTAATAACTCATATATAGTTGTGGCAATTTATACCAATCCGAGAAAAGAGTCTGGCTTTCCGATTTTGTAGAGCACTGTGACTACAGCCATACTTCCGTTCTTGCTTTCGTGAACCATATGCAGCTCGAGAGCAAACCTGCCATTTATCATTTACCATATTCAAAGAATTACCAATAAGTAATAAGTCATGTTTTCCATTGTAAGAACATTGTTGTTTTTGAAAATGATGGAATTTTGTTAACCTTTATTCATATACATGCATGTGACATTATTTTACAAGAAAATGATGTTTATATAAATCAACTATTGATATATAAACAGAAACTACTTCATATTAATTAGTGTATAAATAGAATGTTACATGTGACTAATGCTTTTTTTGTACCTTCTACCGTTGATAGTATGTTCAGAGGGAGAATGCCAATGAAGCTGTAGGAGTTTATATTCAGTTCCATTGATTTTAATACTTCCTGCTGACCCTTCTTCTCCAAATTTCAGCTGCGACAAAATAAATAAATATATAAAATTATGAAAACTTATAAATTAGGGATATATAATATGGGTAAATAATATATACCATCATGTCATGGCCTCTATTCTTGAGAGTGGCATTAGAAGGTTTGTAGTTTCTAGTTAGCTTTCCAAGATGAGAAACAAGTTTAACTCTTTTGTTCATAAGATCAATTGGAGATTGCATCTCTCCTTTTCCGCACATTTTCCATTCCGGTTTCAGTTTTCCCCATTTCGCTGGCCCGTTTTCTTTGTTCAACTCGTAGCTGAATTCACTTTCATCCTCTATATCCATCCATATCATATAATATATAGTTTTTAAAATGCAAAAAGAAAAACTTCTAAGCCATATATATATTGTAGGAAAAATGAATCAGGATCACTCGTATAGCTTACCAACTTCTCTATCTTGTTTTGCAGCACTCGAACATGAAACAATGGTGGTGCCGAAGATGGTGAGAACTACAAAAAAGAAACACCGTATTGATGATTTATCCATTTTAAGATAGGAAGAGAGAATTGTTCTTGACCTAAGAAATTTTTTTGGATGTAATAGAAATATATAGGATCTGATTGTTTTTATAAAGAAAGAACAAAATTCTACTGGATCCATTTATTTTTAACCAGTAAAAAAAAAGGGTTGGGAAATTTTTTCCCTACATTCTAGGTGGAAATGAGAGGAAGAGAGAGTAAAACTAGTATCCATTTAAAGAGAGGGAAAGGGAGGACAAATGCAAAAGTTTTCTTTCTTAACTTTAATTATAAACAAGTATTTTATCTTATCTTAACAACAATTTGATTTTTTTTATTTTTTTTATTTTGTGATTTGTGTCTTCAAAAATAAACTTGATATTTTAAAAATAATAAATATTTTAATAATTATCAAATCTTCTTATTTGCTCTACTTATCTTTTTCTTCTTTTTTTCATTCTTTACATTTTTTTCTATTATTCTAGTAGATGTTTACCGATGGCACCTATATATAGTTGATGACATTATTATAACTGCGTTATGATTTCGTACAGATATGTTACACGCCATCTTAATCGTCATGTGAAACGCCATCTTATATTATTTAAAGTATGTTAAATTTTAATACCAATCGAGACGACATGTTTAATGCTTGACTCTTGTTGAAAACATGCATGCTTTCGTTTACCTTTCACATTATTTCGTTCAAAACTCTCTAATTCATCTTTTCTTAGATTTTTCATGGGTTTGCAAGATTTATTCACATTATAGTCGCATTCATTGTTTATCTGTATAATTTGTCATGATAATTTATGTATACATATTATGACCAAGTTCATAATACGATGAAGTTCCTGGACAAGTTTTTTAGATGAAAAAATAGGATAAAACACAAAAGGACCTTTCAGTTTTTTTAGGGAAGATGGGACACCAAAGAATAATCAGGAAACACATACATCATTTATTTCGTATCAAATAAATTTTATACTTTAATTGAAAAAAATGAAATAAATTGTAGTGCATTTGATTCACGACGCCTTGATTCATAGAGATTTGGTCTGTATATC